TTGTATAATTTTTAGCTTTATATCTTATTTATTTAGCTCTATATAAATTTTTAAAAAGTGTCTACAATAATATGGTACCCTCCTGTATAATTAGTATAATAACTAGTGTATTCTATAGTATATATATATATATAATAATGATGCATATATATGTATATATGTATATATAAGAACTAGTGTTACAGAAAAACCCCAAAAAAGAAAATTATAACAATCAATAATTATGTTCATTGTTTTAATTTTTCTTTTTAGATTTATCTGTAATGCTAATAATAACTTAACTATAAGTTAATATGTATTATTCTAATCATCTGAAATGATTCAAATAATATCAAAATTATTATATTTATTATACTGTAACATATTTTTCCTGCAGTTTTTGTAAAAGAGACTGCAATTTATTTTTATAATTATTTTCTTGAATAGGTGGTACTGGTAGTACTAGTAAAAATTTTTGAATCCACCAATGTTCATGGATATCATCAAGTGTTAAACTTTGATTATTCATGAAAAGTTGAATTTTATAAGTACAAGATAGTCCTATGGTGCTTGAAAAAGATCCAGTATATAGTGGCAATGGTTCTTGCATAGTAGTATATTTTATTTTCTGATATTGTTCTTCCAACTTTTTAAGAGCAAAAGTCAAAACTTTACCCTAAATATTTGTGTATAGAGGATTGTTTTGTACAAAAACTAGAGGACAGATTTTTTTTGATGCAACCTTAGTATCAATTTCTTTTTTGATTTTTTATAGCTAAAGAAATTTTCTTATGAATCTCATAAAGATCTCTAACCAATATTTGCAAATAAGTCTTAATAGCAGCATGTGTATCTTCAACTCGAGAAGTTACAGTTGCTCCTAAGTGAAGATGCATATTGGTTTATGCTTTTATAAATCTTTTCTTTCAAGGAATTCAAGTATTAACAATATAGTTAATAATACAAGGATTATTAGAATAAGTATCACAAAATTTTTGCTATTTTATGTTGAATTCCTCATTTGTTAATGATTGAATGATCTTGCCCTATTCTAAAAAAAAGACTTGTTATTCTGTCACCTCTGTAAACTGTGATTTACAATTTTTCATTATATTTTTATTAATATACCATAGGTATAATAAATTCGTTGAATCTGGAAAGATCATTTTAAGAGCTCTCATAAGGGCAAGCTCCCTGTCAGTTACTATTATTCTAGGCTTTGATATATCAGCAAATAGATGAGTGATACATAATAATACTCATTAGTAATCCTCTTTACTTTTGTCTTTCATAAAAGCGAAACATGAAAAGAAGGTAGTATTGAAACTGGTCATTTCAATGATATTTAGCAACAGTATTTTAAACTTATTAGTCTTATATATGCAATCTAAAAGAAGAACAGAAGAATAATGATGAGTAAGTATAATAGATTCATTATGTACAAAGAAAAGTTAAGTAATATGGCCAGCATTATTATATCTGTATTCATATACATAGTCACTCTCCTGAAGCTTATCTATTAATACCTCAACAGAGAAATAACTTGCCAAATTTTGTTGGCAAAGCTGCTCACATGCATTATAAATATCTTTACTTATAACTAAGATTGATAGATCATTTTGACAGAGGGTAGATATAATTTCCTGAGGGTGTGAGCTGGAGATAGACATTTCTTTAATATTTAATAATTGTTGTTCTGTAAGCTGGAAAGATATTAGATGATCTGATAAATCCTCTAAAAGGTCATGATTATAGATACTATTACAGATCTCTAGATACTATAGATTAATATGTAAGTAGTATATAACTCAAAA